CATGATGTCGAAACCATAAGCACATGAGCTTATCCATACTAAAAAATATCAAAACTGATTGACACATAGAGAGAAGTGGAATCTCTTTGGTATGGATGTGGTCCCTTTTTGTAGATGAGCTCATCATTAAGCTAAACATGAAAAGTCTCATCTTTTAAAGACAGGTCGAGTGATCTCAGTTACTGATGAAAGTGCATTAACTTATCATATATAAGTAAAATCCAGACTCCCCTAATATATTGAAAAGGGTTTCCTCTTCAGTGCAGACGCAATGCCCTACAGTACATGACTTTATCACTACAATATATATTTGGACCCTCTGATATGCATGAATTCCAGGGTACATTTCGGACCAAGAAAGACAGCAAAGTCTAAAGCAAAGTTTTCGCATTAGCATGCCTCCTATCAGACACTAGAACAGGGACAATCTCTTCTCCTTCTGCTTTGCCTGATGTGCAAAAGAATTCCCCTAAATATGCTGATATTCTTGGACACATACATAACAGAGGTGCAGTTTGAGCACGTCGGAAGAATGACTGAAACTAAGTGTAAAGCATCCCAAACATTTGACTCCAACCTTTGAATCCAATTTTAGCTCTACAGGCACAGAAAGTTAAATTCTCTATGTGTATTTACAGGATCATGAGCAAGACTCAGACTACTTCTCCACACCAAATGTTCTGGATAGATATTTTAAAAACTCAATTTTTAAAAGGATTTCTGATCTCAAATTTGGATTTTGTGCAAAATTTGAACATCAGGACCACCCATACTGTCCAAACAGAACCACCCATACAGAGGCAAATTTTTAATAGAGCCTGGGAGCAATGGAAATGTGCAGAAGACTGGCAGAAAGCCATTATGGAAAAAAAGGGCAACAAACGTGACTGCACAATGTACAGAGGTATCTCCTTGTTAAGCCACACAGGGAAAGCATACGCGAAGATAGTTCGAACAAAGGATAAGACCTATTGTAGAGAGAAACCTGAGTGAAGCTCAGTTCGGATTTCAAAAGGTAAGAGGATGCACGAATGCTGATTCGCATCATGACAGCTATGTGAGAAAACCATCGAACATGACAAAGAATCCAACATCATCTTCATAGATCAGAGGGCTTTCGACAGAGTAAACCGAATCAAAATGTGGAAGACACTTGAAATGTTTGGTGTCAAAGGACAACTGTTAGACAATGTTAGAGCTAAATTACCAACATCAGAAACTAAGGACAAAGGAAGGCAACACAGACTAGTTCAAAGTAAGATCTGGAGTAAGACAGGGATGCGCTCTATCTCACTTTTTATAATATACATGGACACATTAACGCAAGACGCAAACCAAAGCCCAGAAAGACCCGAAATGAACTTCTGTTTGCAGACCGCCAATGTCTTATTCATCAAGACCAACAAAGCCTCCAAAATCACACGATCAAACTGAACAGCAGTGAGAAATTTGATGTGAGAATAAACCCATCAAAAACAGAAGTTATGAAAGTCAGCCAAAACCATAGTCCCCTGAACTATCATGTCAACAGTAAACAACTAAAACAGCTCAAGGAGTTTAAATATTGATTTGGCTGCTCTTCTGCTATCAGTGCAGCCCATGACCAGGACATTAAGTAAAACCCATGAAAGCAAAATCACTGCATGCGAGATGAAATGTCTCCACAAAACACAAGAAGAGACAAGTGGAGAAATGAAGAAGTAAGAGCCTGCCTGCATTTAATAGAAAAACAGAATAAAATGGTTTGGCCACCTGTTATGAGTGTCACCTAGCCAGCTAGCCTCTAGAGCCTAAAACACCAAGTACTGAGGCTATACATGAAGAGGTAGACCATGCAATAATATGGAATGAGGGATTCAAAGAAAACCTGAGAAATTATGATATCCCAATTGAAAGATCTGCAGAGTTGGTCTACCATAGAAAACTGCATCTCTCCTCGACACTTAACGGCAACAGAGGATGAAAGGGTCAAAGATAAGTAAAAGAATGAATACAAGACAACTGTTGAGACAGTTTGAAACATTTATTAGTAGACTTGTGTTAACATCAAATTCGTTATTAGAACTATAATCATATTTTGGAAACCCTATTCAGTATCAGCGAGTATTGTTTGTTAATATGTGTGGAGAGTGAAACACAGAAAAAAGACCTGACATCTTTCAGAAGCCATTTGTGCTATCACACAAATACACACACACATACAGACAAAAAGAGAGAGAGAGAGAGAGAGAGAGAGAGAGAGAGAGTCATTGCAGTTTATTTGAAAATCACTTTAGGAATCCCACCTTTTCAAACTTGTACATTTTGGCCCTGTACCCCAGAGCAGGAAATTATTTGCTCAGTCCAAAGTGCTGAGCTCCTCACTGTTCCCTGTACCCACTGCTGTTCAGAAAGTATTAAATAAGGTTACTCTGGTGCTGATTTACTTGAAGGTCTACCCAGATGTTTCTCATTTAGTTGACGGTCTACCACCATATTTCTCTGACAACTGGTTTAGTTGAAGGCCTGCCATGTGAGAGGGACCAATTTACATTTTCCCTTTGGGTGCATACAAGGCTTGGGTTGTCATTTGCCATATTAGAAATGTTTTGGTGGTTGTGATTCGTCTGGTTGGGGGTGGGGGGCTGACCCCCATCCTTCCCATTTCTTGAAAATAGTCCCATCTGACCACTTGCTGACACGACTCGCTTGTAAATCATATACTATACCGAATCAAAATAATTTGATCTAAATGAAACAGCAATTGAAGCAATCCACCCACCTATGCATCACAATTGTGTAATGCCATCACCTGTACTCTAATTGTTCCCAGCGCTGTCATTACCACAGCCAATCTGGTGGACTTGACTTACGTAACACTAGATCTCCTGGACTGCAGTAGACTGAGGTCAATTGAGCAGGACTTACAGTAGACCGCTGTAGCCAGGTAGACTTTCAACTTAACCAGCACAGTTACTTTCTTTTGTTTCGACTCAAAATGCCAAATATTGCATTACTGGGAAAAGAATAATGTGTTTTGCTATGCAGAGATGGCATTACATTTTTTAAAAAGTGTTACAGCAGAGAATAAAAAATTGATCAAACTCTGCAAAATATCTGCAATTGGGTGCTTCTAGGAGGACTACTTCTGCTCACTTGTTGTTTTTTTGGTTTAATTTTTGTCTCTCAAAGTACAGACTACAGTAAAAAAACAAACAAAAACCAATACACAATAGTTGAAGAGTCAGTCTCTACTAAGAATCTCTTTAAAACAGCAAAGTTGAAATTAGTACAATCCCACTGCACTGTGAGTAGTAGTACAGAATGCACTGACATGACTTGCAATGCGCACAAAAGAGTCACAATAGCAACCTCTCTCAGCAAAATGTAAAAATCTTCCAAGTGACAAGAGCCGAAGATACCCAGTACCATAAACAAAGAAAACTGCAGTCACCACAAAAACCATCTAAGAGGTTCATTCCAGAAAAACTAGTTTATGCTTTATGTCAGCCCTGATTCACGCAAAAACAAAAATAAAACACGATAGGGGCTGGAACAGAAGGCGAACTTGAACTAGTTCTTTTGGAAAAAAAGCTATCAGACCAAAAGTTGGGGGAGGAGTCTTTATTGAAAAAGTAAAACAAAAATTCCTACAGCAAAAAAAACCCAAACAACAACAACGGGAGTAACTTGCTTATGCAATTAATATTCTAATGTCTACATTCATTTCACAAACATAAGCCAAACTGCTTACTCAATGTTATGAATCCAGCTTAAACATTGATCTCCTGACTCGAGACTAAACTAACGCAAGTCACAGTATGATTCTCTTCTATTCTTACACCGGTCATATTTGTGATTTGTGAAGAGTGTGCTACTCATCTTACTTTTTTGTTCATTTACGGGAAACTTGAAAAAGCTAAGCCAAACCCATCCTTCTTTACACCGTTTACACATTAGATGGATGCCTTAAAAGCTTACATGTAGTCTTACCTTATGCTAGGTTTACAAAACTCCTTTGAGAGCATCAATGACAAACACTTTCTCTGTACACGTAATTTGTTAGCACACTACAGTTGGAAGCTTTGTAATTATTGGTCTTCCTTAAAAACAAGTACTGTTGGAACCATTGGAGATCAAGAATTTGCTGGACCATATTTCAGTTTGAAAATTCCACAAAGGCAACTACAGGAACACAGCACAGAAGCGAATAGAATTTGGCACAATCTAGAGACACCATCTGCTTAAGTGCAGTGCACACCATCATGCAAACTGTTCAACTTTCTATGTTCAACTTAAAATATTTTTTAAAAATCGCAAATCTGAGCCCTAGCAAATATGGCATCCAATTGCAGACCATAGTAAGCCTTTACGAAGCTGGCCATATTTTGTCTAGATTGAATTGGATAATAGAAACTGTGAAAACACGTAGAAGGAATAAAGCATTCAGCTGCAGTAAAAAAAAAATTGTAATCTTTAACCAGTGATATTCCAGTTGAATGTGGAAAGTTGAACAGTTTGAGGGGTAGTCTGTACCACTTCTAAAGGAGCACAGAGAAACACACACCAGACATACCCATCGGCAAGGGAATGAGGAAGGAGTTGAGGAAAAAGCAAAGAATAGCCCTCTACCCCTATGTACACCTTATGTAAGTGAAAAAACCCAATAACAGTAAGTATGCAAACAAATGCCAGAATGGATGTGCTACTGCAGGCATACATGGTTAAGAGCATACTTTCCAGTAGGGACATGCCCTAAGCGGAGAAGCAGTCTATTATTACTATAACTACACTATCATGATTAAAAGGAGACGGAATACTGCAGTAGTTCCTGTCTCATAGACTGGAGTTCAGATGCGATCCAGGTAATATTATTTCCTTTGAAAGAAAAAAAAGTAGAACGAGCAGGGGTGTGAGCTATTATTTACTTTTGCTTAAGTGGAAGACGACCATCATAAAGGGAAGGGGCAGGGGCTGTTGGAGACAAGGAAGAGGATGGGAAAGACGACATCCACACTCACATGGCCGAATCTTGATCTGTGGCGCAACTATGTTGGGTGAGGAATAACTGTAGCTGATGGGGGATGGGGCGCGCCTGAGTTTGGGGCTGGAGGTAGGTGATCGTGCCGGGGATGTAGTAATCCTGCCTGGGGATGAGGCTCGCTTTTGTGTGCCCGGTGGGAGAGGGGATGGGATACGCACCGGCGAGGACATGGGCCGTGGCTTGATGATGCGCACAGGGCTACTGCTTGGGGACAGCGCCAGTGCGTCAAGCGTACACGAGGTCTCCATCACACGGCTGGGCGTGGATGGGCGTTTGGGGCTCCCTGAAGAGGAGGAGCCCCCACCGTTGAGTTTGCTGACTGATGACTTAATCCCTGCTAGTGCCAACCCCGGGAGCCGCTTGGGGCTGCCGAAAGGTGACACGAGTGGGGAGGCCCGGGGAGTGCCGGGGGTGCGTGGAGTCCCAGGGGTGAGAGTATCCGAGCTCATGGCCGACGTTATAGTCCGTGGGCTGGAAGGAGAGACCAGGGACTCAGTGGAAGCCGAGCCTAAAACACTAGAAACCATAGAGGGAGCCAGCAGCTTTGTATCATCTGCACTCTCCAGACAGTCAGTACTAGACTCGTCTTCCAGATCAAAGTCAGAAAGAATGATACCTGTGGTGTAGGTTGGGGATCCGCTTTCCTGCCGGGTGATGGCTGGGACGTCGGGAACCTCCTGGTCATACAGCGTCTCACACGATGCAATCGGGGCCAGCAGACGCGGCTTCGGGGGCTGGAGAAAGGCTGTTAGCTCAGACCGGCTGTCATCACTGTCCACAGACTCTGCTCGCTCAACTGCGTAAGTAACATACAGGTTTAATCATACACTGCAGCCTAAATTCTAAATAGCCCGTTCAACTGTGAGAGCAATATTCAGTTAACATTAAATCCTATTCTGCAGCCTCAATTCCAAAAAAATTAAATAACTGTGGAGTAACATACAGAAAGTGTTAAATAAAAGACTGTTGTAAAATCAAAATGCCCAAAATCTAGACGAAGCAACATTTCACAAAAGTGGTAAGGTCAACATGCATTACATAACTGTCAAGTTTGGGGAAGACAGTTTGGGGAACTGAAAATCCACATGAAACTTGAACATGAAAAAGACTCTAGTAAAATTAAAGTTTTCTAAGCTTTGAGGGTCATTCTTTTTGTAACGCAATGTTATTAATGTTGACAGCAAATTTGAAAAGTATGCTGCAGAACTACTTTATTAATCAGCTCGAACAATTGGCGAGATAGATAATACAGTGCTTCAACAAGATGGTACCCTTTGCTACTGTCTCTACGTCTCTAAATGAAACATTTTATAATAAGTGGATAGGAAGAGGTATGCCTTTACCTTGGGCCTCCACTTTGTAAGATTTTCTATGGGACATGTGAAAACAACTGCGTATGCAACCAAACTTTGTTTCTTAGAAGACTTGAACTTGAAAGCAAACCAATGTATTTTCTGGCATTTCTGTAAGCCATTCAGCAAATGTTTTTGGAGCATTGCAAAATCGTGTAACCTTTGCATTACTTCTGATAGTGGAAAGGCAAGAATTTTAAAAGAATAATAAAACCATACCAAAATTTAGAACGTTTCTTATTTCTAATACTTTTGACTGATTCTTTTTGTACTAAAAACATTACATTGCCAAAAGGACAGCCCCCATATCAATGGTGTTATGCTCTCACTGTGTTACTGCTAGAACTAGGGCAACACTTTTTTGTCCTAATCACATTGCTGGTGTCAATATGCGAGTCTTCAATAAAACTCAGGCCAGAGTCAGCATACACAACAAATGGTATAAAGGTACAGTGGTTAGACTATTGTATCTTCTCTTCTCATTTAAATCAGTAAGGCACTTTTTGGCCAGTTGAAAAATTTTCCAAAATCAATTACACAGCTCGAGCATAACACCATCGGTATGTATGTCATGGCATCACCAGGTGGCCTACATTTCTGAGCCAGGTTGAGGGGAGGTGGCTGGGGCAGCAATCCTTTGCCAGAGTCGGTCTGGAAAGAGCCACGGGTCGAGTCCACGCTGAAGGAGACCCGTGGGCTGCTGGCTGCGCTGCTGCTGGCCGCTGAAGTCTCTGCATCCTCCTGTTTCATGCAACCAGTGCTGATTCTGCGCAGCTTCTCTGCCTGAGGCTTGATGACGTAGCGAGCGTCCACCTCAGGGGGCTCTCCTGTGAACTCTGGGGGGCTGCCCGCTTCCTCTTCCTCCTCCTCTGCACACCTGCAGGATTGTGAGATGGGAATGGAACACAATTTAAAGAGATATTTTGTATCCATGCTCTTTACTGCACCCCTGCTTTAGACACTTGCAATTACTACACATGTTCCATCTATTTTTCCTCTGAAAGGAATATCAAAATACTATGTTTTGACAAAATAGCTTCCTGTCTGTCACAATGCAATTAACTTTCTATAAAGAAAAATGGATTTTTTTTCACTAACAGCATAACAGAGAAGCAAAACTGTCTCAAGCCTCAACACTTTCAGAAACGCAAGCTACTAAAAGGTACACCATTTCTTAACCCCTTCATGTCAACTCCCATACACAATATGACCAGCATCATGTGCCTAGACGCCATCCTCCCCTACAAGGTACGCACTTAAATAAGCTGATTTGGCAATTATGTGGAAAATAACACGTGCAGCGTATAGGATTTCATAACCATACTTCAAAATCTTTCAGTGGAATTTTATCGTGAAACTCATAACAAATTTGAATTCTGGGATAACACAAATGTACAAGTCACCTAAATCTTTAATTTTGAAGGGAACCAAAATTTGACTGAAACCTATCTATCTGGACTGGAAAAGATTAGGCGCAGTAAAAGTTGAACCCCCCCCCCCCCCCAAACTTATGTTACAAAAGAGTTAACAAAGAGGGGGGGGGGGGGTGTCAGTGAACTGACTTCCACCATTGTAGCCTCATATTTTAGGTAAACCCAGCAGCTTAACAAAAACATAGTCATGGCCTTGGAATCTGCAGAGAAAGTGTATAAAATTAAAGAATAGGCTTGCTGCTGTCTGATGGTTATGAACTTGACCCTTCCCTAAAAGTCAGAAGTCAAAAAACCAAAGTGGTAATGAAATTTTTCCGATTGACCTGGATCAGGTGTTGTCTTTAAAATGAAATATTTGTTTCTTGTATGATTTTTTATTTTATTAGCAAAATGAGAAGGGATGTTTAAGTGAAGACAGCAAAACGAACGATTGAAAAAAAAAAGAAAACCAAGGAGTGAGTGGGTGATTGCGAGCACATGCGCATGTGTCGGTGTGAGTGTGTGTGAATGAGAGAGTGAGTGAGTGAGAGAGAGTGAGTGAGAGAGAGTGAGTGAGTGAGTGAGAGAGAGAGAGAGAGAGAGAGAGAGAGAGAGAGAGAGAGAGAGAGAGAGAGACAGAGAGACAGAGAGAGAGAGAGAGAGAGCAAGTGAGCAAGTGAGAGAGCAAGTAATTAAATAATAATCTCACTGTGCAGCCACTTCTGTGAGGCTGGTGTTGAGGTGGGCTCCACCTTCATGGCTCTTGTATACTTTCTTGAGCGCCTCTAGCAGTGTCTGGCCCGAAGTGAACACGCGGTACGTCAGCAGGAACGTGTTCAGGAAGTCAATGCTCAGGAAGCGGAGATCTGTCAGGCGGTCCAGCAGCCGATCCACACTTGCGTGTCTGATCTGGAGGTGAACAAACAGTCGTAAATGTTTTACATTTGTTGATCAGATAGGAGGTGGACTGCTTTGAGCGACCCTACCTGTCATGGCCAACTTGAGTTAAGTGGGATACACCATCCCAGGAGACAAGACAGGGAAAAATGAGAAAAAGAACAGGAAGAATCGGAATACCATCATCTTGAGCGACTTTGTGAGCTTGTAATTGGATGGGGCCCCTGCAGAAGATCAAGACTTAGTAGGAGGAGCAAAAAGCTAAGGAATCAACAATTGCTTGGAACTGACAGTATCTACACCCTTCGAGATGTGCTTCTTCAGGGGACGGAGCGCCTATGGAGATGCCCCTTGTGCAGTGATGTCGGTCCTTCACATAAGTAACAAGAAGACAGAGATACTCAATAAAATAACTTCCCCAAACTGGAATCGATCTCCCATCTTCAACATGCAATGGTAAGGTGCCTAATAGTCACACCACAGATGCTGGTAGAAGTGCACAAGACAAAAAAAAAGGAGATGTGGGTCGGTGTCGGTATAAAGGAGCATGATTTTATATATTCACGCTCCCAAATGGTCATGTCTTGTATTCTATCCATTCACTGAGAGAAAAAGGTTTTGATACAAGGTTAAGTCCATGACCAAGATATTGCACACTTATTAAAATTAAATAAAAATGGAACTGAAAACAATACGCTACAGTACAAAGAAACAACAACAACAAACAAGTGTGGGAGACTAGCAACTTATGGAACAGAGAACAAAAAAGATTATTTAGATTGAAAGAAATCCCACTTCTTAGGTAAAGTAAACATAATTTTCAGGATGGACTCAACTTGATGAGTATTCACAGAACTGACAGAGGGGGAAAGAAGACAAACTAATTTCCATGAAATTGGAGCAGGTATTACCTGCATTTTGAGCCAGCTGTTTATGTATTTGTTTGCAAGTAGAATTTGCACGTAAGTCAGATCATATACCCAAAGAATATATCTTGCGACAGACAGTCCACAAAGTTCAGTAAGTATACAGGTCCAAAGTGAAAACATATATGTTCATTAACCCTATCCGTATGTCGTGTTTTACTATGGTATCCATAGGACTTGGGGAACTCTGTGCCACCACTTTCCAAAGAGGAAATTTACTAGTTAATCTGATCTGTCAAAATGATTTTTTGAGAAATAATGAAAGTTTCAAAGAGATCTTCGCACTAGAAGTATTCTAAAATGTGAAGAATACAACCCCGGGGGAACAAAATGACCCCAGGGCCTACGGATAAGATAAAACTTCAGTGTCTCAGTAAAAATTATTGGGAATGGTGTAGAAAAAAAATCAGCAAAGCAACAGTGTTATACAAGCAATGATATTAAAAATTTTTCTTTAGTTTTAGTAGAGGTTTTACGGCGTTCGCAACTGTATAAGTCATATGAGCGCCATAAGATTAGAGCTGTTACAAGAGAGTAACAAACATCAAAAAGAAGAAGGGGAGATGAGGACGATAGATGTAAACTTTCTCACATTGTCAAGACTCCACAAATATACAGAGAGCAAAAAGGTAAATTAAATTGTAGTCTATTAGTAATCTTTTACTACAACTTAGACTCGAGTTCTGAGCATGAGCTTTCCGACAGCTGACTACACCTTTCATTTTATTGACTTTTTTCTTTTTTCAGATTAAAGTTGGTTTCATTTGAGGACTTATCTTTGATCCCAGATAGCATTTCAGTGTCTCATATAATGATGGTTTAATTCATTCTTTGTTTTTGCCTTTCCCCCCATAAAAAGTAGTTTGGATTAATTTTGGCAGCTTGTTATCAAAAACTTCTAAAATAAATGAGCATTCTTCACTGGGTCAAGAAAATATAACATCACAAGAAAGAAGGAGCAAACAACTTACCTGTGGGACCTTACAGGAGTTGAGTGTTCTGCTGAATTTTATATCCACGTCATCTCGAAAAAGCTTTGGATCAGACCTGAAATGGAAGAAATAGCACTCTGAGTGAGTCATCAAATCTATTAAAACTGGGTAATCTTGTTTTAACAAACCATAGAGACGGCAAACAAATTTAAACCCATCCTTATATTAGCACTGCTATACCTCTCCCAGACTTAGTGCTGCAATAATAACAAAACTTAAGGTATAAAAAATACCACGACATGCCTTCGGGATCATAAAGTGCTTGTTGAGAGATCTAGCAACGATATTCACACTGACGATCGAAAGCTATTCCATGCATATTCAAATTCCATACACAAAAAAAAAAAGACAATAAAAATAGGACAGCAGGAATTAAACTTGTTGCAAATAAAATGTACACCCCTCAGCATAGGACAAAAATGTTGCTGACTATGGGTAAGTGTACCCTGACGATCCTATAAGAAATGGATGGAGAATCTTATATCATTGCTAAAAGCTGCTTGGCGTCTAAAATCTCAAGAGTTGATGATATCAACACTGCAATAAAAACTCATGCAGGATGACATGAAACAGAAGTTGTTTCAACATAGTCAAAAACCTGAATATAGACATATATTTTGGCATGCATTGTGGTATCTTCCATACATTCTCACAGTGATTCCATGTGAAATTTACAAAATAAAAAAACAAAACATTATGAGAAGTCAAGTGCAAGGGATGCATCCATGAACAAACTTGATATTACGCTGTGCAATATAAGGGGGTACATGGGCACTGTGTGATGTCCTTCACATAAAAAAAATAGAGAAAAACACAACTATAGGTGACTGCAACAGTCCATATGCTGAAATACACTCATCAAGCACCAGAGGCAGCTCTTATTCCAATATTGTCTATTGATTTAACTTTGTGGTAATTTTTTTAACAGCAAGTCACCTGGAATTTCTGAAGTAATGAGGCTTAATAACAAGGAAGAAATACATAAGGCTCCAAAGTTGAAACGATAATCTTGCCAATAGACGACAGCCATTTCACCTAACTTTTATGTGGAGTTCAAACTAACTTCTGCTCGATCTAAAAACTCATGCAGTTTTCATGTATTTTCTATTTTTACCTTGAGAGAGGCCCATATTAATAGACTATCATGATAGTCACAATCTTGTTAGAGACTACCTTTAGCCTTCCTACCATATGATAAGCTATGCAATTGAAAACATTGTCAAGATCTTTCATTCTTCAAGGGTGGCTGTTAATCTCACTTATCAAAATATTTTAGCCAGAAGTCCCCACTTGCTCAGAATATATACTGTTTGCCTTCAACATTCAGTTAAAATAATTTGATACCATTGCATTACAATATGTTTCCTGTGTACAAGATTACATAAACACTAGCAGATCTTCTGTCCTCAGTATAATAAAACAAAATTATCAAATGGTCCAGAGAAATACAGTTTATTATTCCACTTTCCAAGGCCAAATAGATGACACAAATTCAGAATGTTAGTCTGTTTAAAGAGCATAAAAAATCAGAAATAGTATGCTGGTGTTCAATTTGTACTTCAGAGGAGTGAGGAAGATATGCGTGAGTTGTCTTTCCTCCTTTACACACAACATAAGACTGAGAAACCAAAGAAATATACCAGTGCAGGTTCAATACTAGCCTTTCAAGAAATAAACCCATGCAGCATTAACACTAGACTGAGAAATCTCTCATTTTTCTAATGAAGGTGTTTTACTCTCCCATTGACACAATTTAGATCATTTAGAAGGTGGGCTTTAACATCACTCATCAGGGCCAAACTGAGTCGAGAGGTATACAACAACCCAGCAGAAAGACCAAGATGCTCTATTAAAATTCTTCTGGCAGGTGAATCAAACTCGAATGTTCTCCTTGTGATGGTGAAGCACCTAATCGCTACACCACAGACATCAGTCTAATGAATGTCAAGCAAAAGATCGGCCCCTTTATTTACCTTTCAATTCCCAAAAAGGATAGCCATCTCTATGAAATATGTGTTATAGGTAAAAATCTTTTTAAAAGCTAGGTTCTTATTGTGTTTATGTGTTTTTCCATGCTGTATGACAAAATGACAAAGCCAATATAAATATATAAATATATATGTGCCTAACAGTCTTTGAATATATTTAAAGACAGGTGCTTGCAAAAAAATAACATGGATTGTTTTCACTCTCATCCATGTGATTTTCTCAAATTTCCTACTTTCTGCAACAAGTCCAAAGGCAGAGTTTCTTATCTTTTGGACCAGTTTAAGTTCTTGGGAAATCTCATCTATTTGTTCTTTTCTTTCTCGTTTCCTGATACATGACCTCTATCTCTATGAATCTACCTATCTGTCAGTCACTGTTCATTTGTCTGACACTCCCTCATACACAAGCAAGAATGTAAATAAGTGCAGATACAAATATACATTAAGGCCTTTATACAAAAACTTCATATACACATACAAGATGATACATGATCACCCCGACAACTGGACACTTTAAGTTTTTTTTTGTAGAAGAACAAAACTGATTCACAAGTAGTTCATATGAAAAAAGTGCGTGATCTAAAAGAGTCAAATACATGGTTAGTATTAATTCATACAGAGGAATTTCATGTAATGTGTGGTTTAAAAATGAGATTAGTTTCACCTGGCCAAAAAGTTAAATTTCAGAAGTTTCAGTAGTTGATTTACACAAAATTTGTGGGGTTTGGGGGGAGATGAGAAGGGGAAAGTGTGTAAGATATTTTTTTGGAAAAAAGGAATAAAAGATTTGTTAAATTAATCGGAAGGATTGTTGCTTTTGTTTGGGGGACTGAGCAATATGGGAGAAATACTTTAAAAGAATCGCTTTGTCGAAACAGTAAAAGCATAAAACTAATTGGGACAATGAAGACACATAATGTTTACAGCCATGATATTCAAATAATTACACATGAAACGAGCAAAAGCTTACAGCATATAGGAAAGGGATTAACGATACACAGGTGGAAGTAGCAAATATAAGCTTGTAGCAGCACAATTATCATTGAGAGCTCATAATATCCTAACAGCTCACCACCCCCACTCACCCTTTTCCCCTGACACACATATAAAAGTTCAATGGGTGTTCACATACATACAATCATGCAGAAACATCAGAATTTCCTCCCACACATACACACGGCACCAGCAAATACATACAACACATTAAAATCTGAAAAAATATTTTTAAAAGTTCAAATATCCAACCAGGACTTTATCATACTGGTACAGTTTAAAATGAACTGTAATAAAACATTTTTCAGAAATGTTAATTGACACCTTTCTTTCTAATATCCCCCCTCCTTCATATTTAAAAAAAAAGCAGGAGAGGATCCCCCCCCCCCTTCCAACCAAACCAAAAAATAACAAAAAGCAACCACATATTCGCACCCCCCCAAAAAAAACAAACAACAACAAACAAAACAAACAACAACAAAACATTAAAAAAACCACACAACCAAAACCAAAACAAAGCCACTGATAACTGTCTCTAGCTTTATTCTTAGACTGAACTCCATAACGCAGACCCAACTTTGAAAACAAATAACAATGTACATCTTATTACTTTCCAGTGACCAGACATTGTCATCACTATTCACAAACAAAATGTTCCTCTAAAGACACAAGCGTTCATTGTTGTACACACTGAAAAGTTTACTATATATTCCCAATATATTAAAACAGACCCCGGCTCCAACTCCCTCCTCCTCCTTTATTTAGAAAAAAAGAAAACAGCAACAAAATGAACTGGTAAGATAACTGAAGGGTCATTAATAAAATTGCTTTTTTTGTGTTCAACTCAGCAACCACTGACATTCTCTTTAATAACAATGTAAGGAGGTGAGGTTGGGGAAAAGGAATGTGTATATATGGAAGAGGTATAGGTCCTCACTTGGGGGGAAGGGGGAAGGGGGAGGGGGAGGGACAGGGGGAGAGGGAGGTGGGTGGGGGATTTGCAGGATGGTCGGGGGAAAGATAAGGTTGTGAACTGATGACGATCCTGCTCTGCTAACAGTTAGTATAAGTGTAACCAACATAAGCACTTTAGAAATGACATTTCTTTGAAATAAACTGCATGCAAGTCATCCAAATGCCAATATCACGGTAACTATCAACTATACATTTTCTGGCATGAAGCTATCTTATAAATAAACAATAAATCTGCTCAATGTCACAACGATTACTACCATTAATAACCCACAGAGTGAACATTCCTCATGACAAAAGATCTAATCCGCTTATAGATAAATAGCAGGGCAATAAGTCATTATAATCCCAGTGACATGAACATTTCTTACAAAATGAATTACAGATTTGCTCAAATTCAGTATCAGAGAAGTGCGGCCAGTGCTACTAATAATAAGATGGGGACATTATTTGATGAGCTGAGTAGTGGTGAAGTCCTGAAAGCCTTTTTAGGATATACAAGAAATTATCATATACTTTAAGTTTTCTTTATGTTTCAACTTAAACATAATCACTGGCCTGAACCAACTTGAGATGAAAATAAAAAGCTGAATTTGTTTACACTCTTCCTTCTTTACAAAACAGGGCCAAAGCAGTTGAGGTCCTGAGGTTGGAATTACACGGTAATGACCGGTAAAAGGCACACAAAGTGTAAAATATATTCGTATGCAACTATAAAAAAATACAAAATTAATGGTAGAAAACAAACAAATATTGTTTTCATAGGTACAGCTTAATTTATCAGAATGAACAGTGCAATGTCGTTGCTATTCTCTTGGATATAATATATTGTATTTCTAAGAAAACCAGCAGTTTCATATCGAAGCAAGTTTTCTTTCCAAACCAATGTATTTCCTGACATTCACCAAGGGTTCCTGTATCTGTGTACAAGTACCTTGTATTTAGATTGAGTCTTTTATACAGAGTGTTAGCGTAAGCATTTAGCTTAGGTCTTTGCATGAAGCACAGGATGAAAAACTAGAGAACCGCCACCACCCACAATACGATGTTTTTTTCATTTCTATTGAACATGTTATCTCAAAAACTGTTGAAAGACTAGTAATTCAATTTGGCTTAAAAAAACTATTTCCATGTGATTTAAAAAATGTTCGTATGAAGCTGCAAGCAGGATCTCTGAAAGGGTAACGTGACAAAAGCTGGAGAGGAAACCACATATAATGGTTTAATGAAGGGAATAGTATACCAATCATGCAGGCATATTGTAAATGAGAATAATACAAAACTTGCGGAAATAATGAAAAATACTTATCCTGACAATAAATGAAGGGTAAAGATGGATATACATCTATAGAAATATATGAGAGCAAGTATATGAATGTGCCTGCATATGAACTTTTGCTTAGAAGAACTTGTACACTCACCAGATCTGTGTACTGTGAATGTATCTGGAAGCATGTGACAGAGACAGAAACTTACGCACTAAACAAATAAAAGTGACCCGTATGAACAGAAACTTATGCATTAAACATATAAACGTGCCTCATATGACTCAGGATGAAGCAGTTCCCATTTTAAACAAATAAAGCGTGAGATATGTTCTGCTGAAGTGACTCAATTAACTACAAATTTGTGCGTAGTTATAACAGTGTACCTACCCCCTTCTCCAAAATTTTTTTAATAAACAAAAATTAAAGGACATTTGTTATTAAAACAATTATACAGCTAGACCCAAACAAGGCTGGTGGACTCCTTGTTTGTTCTGCCAATCGCATGAAAATTAGATGCCAGTGCCTCTTATGACCTATCTGAGGGAGAGACAACTTATAAATACTACTACAATTCATGCTAAGACAACACGACTGAAAGACTCCATACAACTTTACAGTTTGTTAACCTTTTCCCCAGGATACCATTTTGAGCAAATCTCTTTTTTAAGAAGAAAAGAATTCCAAGTTATTTCATGGAGGGTTGCTTATACTTGGAAAAACAAATGAAATGTACCATATTCAGGCTATACATGACTCCGTACACTGAAACAGTACCACAAAAGGCAAAACAGAAAAATCTGATGAAAAACGAAAATAAAATGAAGGGAAAGTGTTGTGAATAGAAAATCTTTTTCAAAGCAATGAAACCCAAAACAAAAAGAAGATGTCTAAGGCACTTCATGATGAGAAACACTAAAAACAGAGACCATTTACACGAGGAAAGGACAAGAGAACAAAAACAGCAAACTATTTCCTTTGACATAACTTCTTTTACTTTCAAGTAGGATGTTTAATACTTTCAATTTTAATTTTGCTAGACCTATTCCTTTCCAATATGGACAATTATTCTCTACAGCCTTTTCCAAGACCAAACGTTGGTCAGTATAAGGTACTCAAAATAAAAATAGTTGAGAAAAACTGAAAGATGTCACATGAAAATCAACAGTTACAAGTTACAGTCTAACTTGTAGCTGTGATAATATTTAACAACCCACGTTTCTTCATCTCAGGGCCAATGTATTCACAATGAAATTCCAAACCTTTTCTAGTTCAAATGCCAAGAGAGTAGGGGGGGGGGGGGTGGGAGAGAAGATGATGGGGTGGCACAACATTACAATGTCAAACAGGAAAAAAAAGCACCTCTGGATACAAATTAAAACTGTTCATACAAAGCATGAGCAGGAAGTTCCAGCCCTTCTTAAAGTCTTTAAAGTTCACTTCACAGATTTCGTTTGCTAAATCAACTGTTGAATTTCTAATTCTGGTAGTCAAAACTTAAAGTGTCTATGGTTTAAAGAGGCAGAATACCCAATAACACTGCTCAGACATAATTTAATATTGGTTTCCTTGAAAGTCTTTTCACCTTAATTCTCAGAGAGCATTTAGTATTCAAACTACTTTCTAAAACCCAAAAGCATTGACACCACAAATTCAACGCTTTAGTAATTGAAAATGTAAAGGCACAATGTTATAGGTAGAAAATCATGTATAGTACGTTTCCCAGGGCTCACCAAGGAGGAACGATAAGACCAAAATATTGAAAATGCTTCTCATATAATATAGCTCTTTTTTTTGTCTTCTCAAAATATACCAAGATTGTTTCCATCTAGTTTCTGGATGCACCTTCATTTGAGTAATTTCATTGCTGGGGAACGGACAAAAGAATGTGGTTTATGTCTGCACCCTGGGATAGAAACCTACAGCCTGAACAATGCCTGGTTTAGATCAGGGATGTTTAACCCTGCTAAATAGTTTCCCCACGCCACCAAGACACCAAACAAAAGTGTTAACATATCTAAAAAGTGGAACAGATTAGCAGCCCTGACTATCTAATGTATTGTCTTTTATACATACCAGGGCGAGTTACTGAATAAATGCATTACTTATTTTGGTAGGGCACTTATTTTACACCAAAAAAAAATCATGTCTAAACATTGCACAACTTTCCTTAGCATCCATTTGGTGACCCCTCAAAAGTTAAACTAAATCATATGATACTATCAGACCAAAAAAATTGTGCACCCTGCTCTAGATGCTCAGACTTGCCCCATGACACTTCCATTTTTTTAAAACAAAAAAGCTTGAAAATATTTTTTTTGCATCCCACAATTGTACAAATGCTATCATACCTTTTTGAAGAAAAAACAGCTGTGGGTAAAACATAAGGCTCTGACAATGTCTCTATATAAATTTAACACAGGCCCTAAACAGTAATACTTCTGTGGACTGCTTTTCGTTGGACTGGACTTTTGGTTGACAGACAGATAAAGAAAAGAAATAAAATGAAGACATGGAGAGGATGTCTTCCCCCTCTCATTCTATGCAATGAAGGTTTAAAGGTTCCTCCATACTGAGTGTAAACAATATAATTTTTTTTATATCCTCTAGTCTACTTGAGAAAAATATTTGCCTGAAGCTTCAAAAACAAAATGAATTAGACCAAACTGTAGTTCAGTAAAAATTTCAAATACAGATACGGTAGTAGACATTTTTTTGGACATAATCTACACATTCAGTGCTACCACAGCTTAGGTACTACAAAAAAGAAACAAAACAAAACATAAAAATCCAAAACAAAAATCCAACAGCAAAGCAACAGTGTTCTCCGTGAGGAACCTTGTGGCAACAAATCAAACAAACGGCCATCCATCGCAATGACCAATGTCAACTTAGAAATAAAAGCAGGAAACTCAAAAAGCCACATCAGCACACACAAAATACGCACATCTAAAGCAAAGGTGGACACTACATGAGGATGTTTTCAGCAACAGGAAAAATAAAAGGCTAGGCAAAAATGTTGTGTCTCTTACAACTTGTTTTGGAATTCTAATATGTGATACGGTTCAGTGTCCAAAATGCTGATATTAAATTCGAAAAGCTGTTTATACAGAATGTGATACACTCTAGGGGAATCGCAATGACACTCCCCCTCCCCCCTAAATAACCTACAAAAACAATGCTTAACAAGACATCTATTTGCTGACACGTGACTAACAAAGTTTTTCAGACCATGAACGCTTATTTTTCATTTGCAACTGCTGCATATAAGTTCAAGGATTCTAGTGATGAACATAGTAATTCCTAAGAATAAAACAAAAACAAAAATTTACACAAAACAATTACATATTGCTCACTTTTGAGCTGAAAACAGAACATAAAATCAAAACCATTGCCTACACAATATGAAAATAAAACACGAAAATGAAAATGAGGACAAATAAAGCTGAATTTCATTTATCTTTTTTCATCACTGTTGTCAACCCCCCCCCCCCCCCCATTGAATTGAAGAGTGGTTTTCCAAAACTCAATAATTCAGTTATACTTTGATTTTCAGATATTTAGGAAAACTTTCTGTTCAGTACCTACAAGTGCTAGCTTTTGTTGCTAGGCATTTTATCTCGTCTCAGGGTTCATTTTCCACACATTTTCAGGGTTCATTTTTCACACAAGTTAATAATTTAATAAATCACGCTTAATCATTTTTGGTGATATTTGCCCACTAAAAATGCATAGCTTCTCAAAACTTTCTTAGTTCTCTCCATTGCATTTAATGTATTATCACCCTCAGAAAATTACTTTGTAGTTTGATAAACTTAATAATTTTAGAAGCCAAAAACTTACTGGAACAAACACTTTAGTACTTGAATAAGAATTTAATTTTGTGATAACATTTTGAACACAATACCTCTTCAGTAAACTCTTTTTAAACACACCAAGTAAAGTGCTTTACAGAACATATTTGCCCTTCAACTCAGGATAAACGCACTGCCCTTGGTATGCACTCTCGCTTCACAGATAGGTTTCCCAAAACCCCTTTACGCTGAACGGATTTTGTAGAAAGTGGAACTCTTGTTCCATTGTACATGTTCGTTGGCTTAAACGAGTTTTGAGATATCACAGCAGAAAGTGTTACGCATATTTTGAAAAATCAACTAATGTTTGGGTCTACATTTAGTACAAATTGAAAGTGTTTTCCTGCGTCGCTTATTATGTAGAGTACGGCTGAATGACTAACCAAGTTTTGAAAAATCACTCTTCAATTACCCTTCAACTTCAGCATGAGAGCAGGGTTACAATTGGTTACGAACAATTGTCTTTAATGTTCATGGTCATACTGTTATGGCTACAAGGCTCCTTCTTCTATTCAACAACATTCAACAGTGAAGAAAGTGTTCCAAATCAAAACATGTTATAGGCCAGATCCAAAAATATTAACAACAAATGAACCAGTTGTAATGGACACCTGTCCAAGAGAATCATCAGTACGAACTACTCATTTTCCTCTGCCTCCCACGCCATTTTTCTATATTATAATGAAACTGTCTAGTCAACTACTTTTCTCCTTGACAATGGGCGGCTGTCTTGGACAATTTTGATTGTAGAAGTATTATGTAATTCCCTTCAAAGATGACAGCTTGGGCAGTAAGGGAATGTTATCTCACTTAATAAGTGTTGTTCATTACAGTCCATTTTTAGGAAAAGAAAAAATTCAACTACTTGGCTGTGGTTTTTTAGGTGAATGAGGAAAAAAACCTCCACTAACCCGAACAGCTTTTTTTTGACCTGGTACATAACAAGCCTTGCCTTAGAACCCTTCATATTTATGTGAGTCACAAAGCAAATGTTTGTGCAGCCTGTGATCGCAGGGCATACACCTGTAAATATTTACCTAATATAGAAATACTAATTATAAACACAGTCTCTTTTTTAGCATCTATTGCAAGTTGCAGACAATACTGACATAAAGTTTATCTTCACTTTTATAAAATGTGCAAACCATACAATGCAAGGCAAACTGGTACCAGACCTAGGGCTGTCGAGGTTCCATCACATGCAGTGGGGCTCCAAGAGCTTACTGGGTTATACGCAAAGAAGGATTCTGACATCAAATATTAAAAAAGATGACCATAACCTGCCATACAAAAAGCCTCAAAAGAATCTATATTTCCAGAATTTCAGCCATTCCTGGAAAAGTGACCCCTGTATTATTGATACAGAGAGAGTTCCTTAGAAACCAAAAGAAGACTTGGTACTTGTTACTGTTCAGAGAAGCACAATGTGTTTTCCCTCACCGACCTGAGAACAAAACTTGCTATCTACAAGTGTTACAATACAGAAACACAGCAACTCTTGCTCACCTGACAGACTGGGGCATAGTCACTGAAGATGATTCGCTCATGGAGCTGTTGAGGAGGTCACTGTAGTGTAAATTTTCAATACACTGTAGAGCAAAAGAGAGGGGGGTAAACATTGATTTTAACACAAAGTGTCCTGAATTCAAAATTAAGATATACAGCAATTTCAATCAGTTCTTCAGTGCACCACTGCAAACCCAATGATAATGTACACCAGACACCTAGCTAAGGATGCACTTTTACTATATTCCTTAAACTATCTAAAGTAAGTTTGCAGACCTTTTGAAACAAAATGGGCTTCACTATTTAACAGGTCTGTTGATCATTACAGCATAAAAAGACCCCTAAAAACCCCCTCTTTGAGAGACCCTACTTTCAGAGTAACAAACTTTTGTTTATCAAGGGGTAAAACTAAAACGTAACATCATTTTAAAAAATGTTTAATATCCAGAAGGATGATGGAAGAAAAAGGAAGAAGAGGAGTAGGAACATGAGCCATAGGTAACATAGGCCTGCCAGTCCTAGAGCTGTAGTGGAATACTGCAAAAACTGAAAAGCTTGTGGCAAAAGAGGACGTAATTAAGAGATGAGACTCCCAGTTCCATCTTCTAGCACCTTTAAGATCAACCCAAGTGCTTGGTGAATAACCAAGAGCCGAGTTGCCCTACACACAGCCATTTAACAAGATTCTAAATGAGCCAAGGGCACACCCAGATGAGAGAGAGAAGGGGGTAAAAGAAGAGAGGGATAAAGAAAGAAAAAGACAGAGAGAAAGTGAGAGAGTAAAGGAGAGATGAGAAAGAATCAGATGGTGAGAAAGAAAGACAGATAGATAGAAAGATAGATAAATAGGGAGGGAAAGAGACAGAGAGTAAATGAGAGAGAGAAAGAGCATGCGCCTGCGAGAGAGAGAGAGAGAGAAAGAGAGAGAGAGAGAGAGAGAGAGAGAGAGAGAGAGAGAGAAAGAGAGAGAGAGAGAGAGTATGATGATATTGATGACGCTATCTCTTATGTGACAGAAGCAGGTGAAAGCATTATTACTGTTACTTTCTTGCTCTGGTTGATCAGTAGAAACTGTCTATTATAGCATCAATATCTTCCCAGTTCACCCGGGTAAAATGTAGACCACAACACTGTGTCGAGATACTCTGAAATCAACTGTGACAACATTAACTCTCAGTATGCAGAAGGCTATTCCTCCTTTATACTGTACGCAGCAAAATTTGTCATCCAATCTTCAGCATCACAAACTTTCCTACGCTGCTATTTAACCTTGTTGTATAAAATAAGACACTAAACTAGGTAAATATGAACGACCTAATCAGTAAACATACAGTTTAATTAAAGAAAATACGAATTTGCTGAGGTTTGGTAGATTTTGAGTTATAACCCTAAACAACCGAGTGAAGCTGTGAGCCAGCTGATTGAACTGGCGCACTGTATACTTTTAAGAGTTTCTGCGGCAGTCGGGTGGTGGCACTTCTGCCTGGAACAGACCTGACTGATGTCACTGCACCAGGCGGCCTTCTCATGGAGGGTGCTGGCCACCAGCGTTATGGTGATGGGCGGGCCGCTCTTCGAGTCCACGATCAGCTTAAAATCAAGACCATTGTAGTCCGCCTTGGCCTCTCGCTCTGTCCCGCCCTGCACTGGAAGTAGGTTGGCGGCGGACGTCTGACTGCCCAGGCTTAGGTTTGAGTCCAACGATGAAGCTGTAACGAAGGGGATTTGAATTTACTGTATTAATCGAGTACGGTGGGATGAGAAAGCTAGGTCGCAAATCGGAGAAATTCAAAGGACGGGACAGCGTTATAAACTTATAACACCCTCCCTCTCCTCTTCTCCGACCTACACATACTCACACATACATACATACATACAAGCAATAATAATACTCACGCCAGGATGTTCTAAAACATGTTTTAAAAAGCGGAGACGAAGACAACAATATGCAAGAGGTGAGGGCACAGCGGTAATTGGCGTTAGAAGGCTGGAGCATGGCAAGTTTTCGAAATGCAGAGACAAGTATAGTTGTCTCCTGGAATACAGCTGATGACGATACTACATGTATGATCGGTGATGATGATGATGATGATGATGATGATGATTTTTTTTGTTTCCTTAATGGGCCTGACGGACTCCACGAAGAAATCTTCGAGCGAGAGCGAGGCTCTTTTTCGGCTCTATTGTCAATATCCCACTCGTCCAAATAACTTGATGATGATGATGATGATGATGATGATGATGATGATGATGACGATGATGATGATGATGATGACGATGATGATGATGATGACGATGATGATAACGGTGACGTTGATAACGATGAAGATAATGACATTGACATCGTCATAATGAACACTAGTGTCTCCTCAGTTGAAGGAATTTTTGTTAATCAGAAAAGCACATTGCCACAATGTGGCCGTAACAAGGACGAATATTGGCAAAACAAAGTAACACAAAAGAGGAAAATGAATCAAAAGCCTTTAGTAAACCTATAAGGGGGCTTTCGTGGCCTAGCGATACGGTGATCACCTCTCATACAATAGGTTCCAGGTTCGAAACCTGACAGCGACGAAACATTTTCTCCCCCCCCCTCCCCCCAAAAAAGTTCTCCTTTCACCACCTTTCCAGCTCTCTAGCCATGTTCTGTCGTCTGCCTTCGTCTCCACTTTCTGCCCCTTCCACCCTCCCTTTGTCACCTCCTCTGGGCTCCTGACTCTTTCTGCTGCCACTTTACTGACTCCCTGGTTCCTTCTCACCGTTTTCAACCATACCCCTGATCTTAGGGTAGGTAAGATCTAACCCACAGCTTTCTCGAAAAAAGGCTAACAAATCTCAGGAGGTCCCATGTGCAAGTTGCGCACGTTAAAGATCCTTTGGTGGTCTTAAAATCGATAAGAGTAGGCTTCGGCCGCCATCCGGGCAAAATACAAAATTGATTCCAACCAAACTGACAATGTTTAATGAGTCCCGCGCACTCAAATGACCTTATGCAATTGCGAGCGCCATAAAACAACGACAATCCCCCCCACAAAACCGCCTATAAGCGTGCGCTTATTAGCGTTTTTCATGAACATTCGAATATTACAATGTCAAAACCGTGTAAAGTGCTGATGATTAGAACGCAAACTTTAGCTGAAACAAAGGTGCTCATAGTTAATCTCACACTATACATTGTGTTGGTAAGAGAAAATAAATGATCATTTTAGGGAAGTCTCCTCTTCAACTTTCAACGAAGTAATCTAATTTGCACACTATAACTGTTCGTTACATTGTCAGTGGACAGAGACCAACTTCAGTTTTAAAAAGCCCTATACAGATTGAGGTAAGTTCTCATGTGGCTATCGTATATAACAAATCCAATTCTAATCAGAGCTGATCAAAAAGAACCACGTTACGTTGACAAGGGTCACACTATGATTCAGTGCAAATATACGAAAAAGGACAATAAGAAATAGCATTAAGCTGTGGCACTCATTATGTCAACCACGTACAGAACTATCACTGATACCTGCGCACAAACAACAAGCAGCAATTTACAATTTCACTAAAATGTGTGAAAACAACCTTCAGGACAGATAACAACAAAACCAATGTCTCCGAGTCACCGTGGAGAGGCAATGCCATAACACGCGAGTCGATCCCTCTTTTATTTGAACAAGGCTGAACCAGGAAACACAATATGCGTGTCACAGCTGAACCGGCCACACTTTCTATGGCCAGTGGCGAGACAAAACAGAACATAAACTAGTGCACTGGAGAGGGTTCTGGCACCTACTTAGGGCGAAAGAGAAGAGAGTTCACAAAGCTAAAACAAAGAACTTGCACTACGAGAGATCTCGAACGCGCTCCAGACGACTAAGACAACGAAATATAGTGTGAGAAACCATTTGACCTTAGGCACGTCTCAGAGAACCTTATCTGTTTACAATTAAATCATGTAACAAGGATCACCTTCCGCTGAAAGCATAATCTCATTTTAAAATGAAGTCTTTTTGTAACTACTAATAATGTCGAGAGGAACACTGGCAGCCGAGTGTACACTGGAGTCTGTGGTGGGGTAATGGTTTAACATTTCGCTGATGCATGTGGAAGACGCGAGTTCGATTCCCGAGAGGGGCACGTTATTGTATCAAGTGTCTCCGCCTGTCTGCTGGGGCGCTGTGTTCCGCTCAGCCAGGGTTGGCTCCAACATACAGGCGCGACCCGAAGCAGCCCGCACCCTTTAGGGAAGGCGCTATAATTGGGCTCTTTTTTAAGTTTTCATATGTGCAACGTTTGCTGTTATAACTATCTTCAGTGTAATTGAGGGTAATAAACATTTGAATGGATATAACCATCGTTCCAGGGCAAACGAGAGGAATATTATGTTAATTGAGCTTTTCTTTCACACTATTTTTACAGATTACGTAAACTGACTCATTTCGTAATAATTTAGTACTAAAAATACTAAGGCTTCCACATTTTTTTGACAAATAGGGTTCAAATTTTGCATGGGGTCTTTACAATCATATTGCAACATTGAATCAACATCATATTATAAGCATAGTCTTTAAATGGG